ATCTGTTTATTTGATGTATACTTGATGCCAGCTCCTGCCACTTTAGTGATTGGTAGGAAACCCGAAAAATGACAAGTATGTCGATATAACTTTGTTTTACAGAATAGTAATGCATGCATAATCCGAATGCACTGTTACTATATCACCTTGAGGCCACACAGCAGATGGCTAAGTACTCAAACTGTAGAGTGGGACAACCTGGTGCAAAATGACCTACATCTATGCCTCAGGGCTGTGTAGAACCTTCAGAATCATGCTTGCAGCATAATCAGATTTCCAAAAATGTTATTTTTTTATAAGAGTAGGAACTCCAAACATATTCCTTAAGTAAATGTGAGTTTTTTCATCCAAGTTAGAGAAACAGAAAAGCCAATTCATGATTTTACAATGGGAAGTACTATAATAATAATTATACCATTTATTCAATAAAGAAAATGTTCCAGAACCATATCTGCTATCTTCCAGATGTTAGCTCTCATCATAATGCTTCAGACCTAGAATTTCCCCCTAATTAACAAATAAAGTAAGTAAAGTTCAGAAGGATCGTGTAGCTCACTCAAGGTGATGGTAAAACAGCATGTGAGTGTTAGAGCCAGAATCTGGACTCAGGTCCACCTTCTCAGAAAGTTCATTCCCACTGCACAGTTCTATGCCTCTCTGCTACACTAACAAGAATCCTAACGGAGCAGCTAACGACATCAGGCATCATGCTAGCTTACGTGACTAAATCACACGAATTAGCCCATCTAACACTCACAACAACCCTAGGTACTCTTATTACATTTGGATGTAGAAACTGAGGCTTGAGGAGGTGAAATAAATCATCCAAGGCTGAGTAGAAGGTAAGTCGTAGAAGCTGAATCCAAACTCAGGAAGCCTGGGCTCTTGGCCACTATGTGATACTGCCTCCCATCCTACGGTAGAAGAATGTCAAGAGACTCAGAGGCTAAGAAGGAAGCCAGAGCCAGGATTAAAATGGCTTGATGGGTCAGGAAAAGGAGTTTGAATCTTTTTGTGAAAAGTCATCGTCAGATGGTCAAAGGCAAGGGAGTGAGGGAACAGCAAGTGCATTCTGGGAACCTCTACCAATTTCCTCATCCATAAAATAAATAATCAGACTAGATAATCTCTAAACTCCTTTTAGTTCTGAAGCACACTATATTATTGCAGTTTGTATCATTTCCTTCCTTCCAACCTCCTGGTGGCTTCCCTGCGTAATTAGTATAAAATCCTTCCCGGGGAGCAGGGTCTGAAAGGCTCTGCAAGTAGCTGCCCCTGCCTGCCTCTGACTTCACCTCCTTGTCTTCTTCTCCTCGATCACAGTGCTACCATCACAAGTTTTTCTGTTCTAGAAATGTCCTTGTTCAGGGCCTTTACATTTACTTTTTCCTCTGCTTGAAATGTCCTTCCCCAGGTCTTTCCTTAATGGTTCCAGAAATGCCACTGCTTTCAATAGGTCTACCATAACCACTGCACCTACAATAACATCCACCCCGTTACTCATTACCTCACTGGAAATTCACTTTTCTTGTTGCTTATTCATTTATTGTATTCTGCCCCCATCCATCCCCATGTAAGCTCCACGAAGGCAGGGACTCTGTGGATCTGGTGCATGGCTGCAGCTCGTATGCTGCAGCCCGGCACATAACAGTACTTGACTGATTTATTGAATGAATGAATGGATAGATGGCTACAGTTTTTACAGCCCACATAGTACCTAAAAAATAGTAAACACATAACAGGAGTTCAAAACATATATAATAGTAGTAATGATAACTAGGATTTATCAAGTTCTAAATATTGGCACTGTGCTAAATCTTTTATACAAATTATGTACATTAGTCCTTGCCTGCTCTAGCAGGTGGGTAATTTTATTATCCTAGTTTTTCAAATGAGGAAATTGAATCTTTGCAAGACCAAGCAATTTGCCCAAGGTCAGAGTGCTAGTAAATTAGCCCAGATTCAAAACCAAGTCTAATTTCAGCACAATGTTATTTGTTAACCGACTGGCTTCTGTACAGAGTAACTGCTATTGCCTCCATTTGGATTAGTGACTTCATAATTTCAAACAGCATTACTTGGGTAGTTACTAGTTGTGTCCGGGGGCTCATGCCAGATAAAAGTCATAGATACCTAGGGTTCGGAGGTGAATAATGTGATACAGTTCCCAACCTTATGTGGCTCAGTTTAATAAGAAAAACAAATATGCAAGTGTGCTAGAATGGACTTCTCCATAGCCCAAACACTCCTCCCTCCCCCTACAAAAAGCTGCATGCTGCAGAAAGCTCATTCTTCTTGTTTCCCTGAACCTTGCCCAGGTATTTAATTTTGCATTTATTACATTATATTCTAACGGTTTAGCACTGTCTGGGGTGAACTGAATAGCCATTTACTGAGTGCCTTGATGTAGCAGGTGATTTATACATAGTCTTTAATTGAATCCTTATAATAACCCTGAGGTGTGTGTCATTATTCCTACTTCACAAATGAGCAGCCAGCAGCTTCTTGGGATGGTGGATTACAACTTGATGATCATAATAGTGTCTGATTAGAATGTGCTATCGAAAATACTTGGATGGATGAATATGTGTGCAAAGACCTACAGGAGCCCCAGGAAGGGATTGGCTCTTAGCCTGCATAGATATTTACTTGAAAACTATGATTGTAACAAACATGAGACTAGTTAACTTTTTATTATCTTATTAGTTCTGTAGTTAAATGTTTAATAAACTATGTATATTTCACCTTGTAAAATATACTAACAATATCTTTACTTTGAGGGGGGGAAAAGCAAATACTTTTCCATTTTATTTTATATTTTTAGCAAGATTAATATGTTAGAAGCCTTTTTATTATGATAATTAGAGCATGGACTTCAAGATTTTTATATTATATTTCCCTGATCTATAGCCTGCCATTTCTTCCTCCTGGGGCAGGAAAAAAGTGCCTTTATTCAGATACTGTACAGTTTCTTTATTTAGAATTATTCTGAAATGAACAAGTCTTTCCCTCTAGTAGAAACATGGGGACAGGAAAATTAATATTTTTTATATTTAAAAATCCAATCTTAGAGTAGTCTTTTGAACATAACTGAATTATGACTGCCTGCTAAGAATGCCCTCAGTAAAATAAAGTTACATTCTGAATGTATCTACATGAAGGCACAAAGCCATCTCCAGCACTGAAAAAAAATGGACCGAAAAAAGTATTGACAATCACTGTAATAAAAAAAGTTAATAAAAAAATGTAGATCTCTGCTGAATATCCAAAGGTGAGATATATTTTCTGCCCTGCAGTGAGCATGTGACATTCTCCCCAAGCACAGCTCTGTGGGGAGGGCCTGCTCCACTGAAAATGAGTTCATTTTCTAGAAGTGAGAGAGAAGGGAGAAACTCACTTGAATAATAAGAATCTATTTTCTGAACTGCAGTTTGGTGGTGTTTGAAGTTTTAGAGATATTTAATAATCAAAATATACTCTTGTTACTTCCATGTTAGTAAAGCCACAATCCAGCTCCACAGAAAATGAGAGAGACACAAGGATTCCAAGGATTCTGAAAGCCTAGCTAGCTTCACAGAGTCTTTAGAACCCACTTTACATTCATAGACTTAGTATTCAACTCTTAGCACTTACCAACTTTACATCCCCAGGGCCTGGTGAAGAGTCTCGTAGAAACTGCAAGGCCCTCTCCTTTTGAATTAAGTAAATATTTCAAAATTATGCAAAGAATCAAAATTATTTTACTGGGCTCCACAAGAGACTAGGCAGCTACAGAGGCATAAATAAAAGGTTCTTTGTAACTACAAACTACATTTTCTGATGTTACTAGAAATCAAAAATAGCTCATTGCCTAAGAATTCACGGTGACATCAACCAGAAGACCCCAACACAAAGAGGTATACACTTTTCTGGATACTTAGGACAAAAACAAGTAAATCTAAATATGAATCATATTTGTTTGTGCGGAATTGACTGATATAAATAGTAAATAATGATTTTGAGATCAACATTACAAAAATTTACACTAATATTATAACTTATCCTTTTATTTGTCTATAAGAGTAATATGATGTTAAGGCTGATAGAACTGTGTAAAACTGTGTCTTGCTGCCCCAATTTTAACCCTAATACTATGCTCTCAAAGATCATAGAGATCCACAGGAAAGAAAATCCTTCTCCACTTTTTGTGGCAAAGTCCCCTGAGGGAAATGAATTCTGTCCCCACCTCAAAACAGTCCTGACTTACCCATTAGGTACAGGAAAAACAGTAGCTCAGGCTCACAACACTTTTCAATATCCATGAAAATAGTTTCTTTTAAAATCAGAAGAAAAAAATTGAACATTTAGATCAAAGAAAAATTTTAAATATATAATATTAAGGTATTAATCTTTATATCAATACAGCCATAAATACCTGTATGTGTGTGTGAGCTTGTGCGTGTGTGTATGTTTATGAAGAAGGGACTCATAAAGGCAAAATGCCTAGGGCCCAGGAAAGCTATAATGCTACCTTGTCTCAAAAATATCCTGTCTTAAATTTCTTTCAATTGGTTTTTAGGTATGCCAGATGCCAAGTTTCCTTTGTCAGCCAAGGAAATTCTCATCTTTTTGCAAGAAATTCTTTCTTTTACCCAATTCCTGTTAGAAAAGTGATTCTTTAGAAGTTTTGATTGCTTTAAATTAATATGTACTCAACTAGGAAGTCTCTCCCGCAAAGTTAATTTTTTAAAGAGAAAAAAGAAGATAGGAGGAGATGAGCACTTTATATGAGACCTTGACAGCTCTCAAGGAAATGCATTCTCCCTTGCTCGCCTCAGTTTGGACTTATGCAAAAGAGACTCTCTCCTCTTTCTTGATTTATTCCACGGCCTTCCAGCAGGGGGAGCGTGGTTCTCAGCCCTAAGCGGCTCGCTCCCCAGCGCCTCAAGGGACCGTATCCCTATTTGCCCCAAGGTCAAAGCTCCTAACCGAGCTTGCCGGCCCAGGGCCGGGGATAGCGGTCAGCAACCCTCCGGGCTGGAGACCTCGGCGCGGGTGGGGCCGATGGGGCTGGGCGGAAGGGCTCCGAGGCCAAGGATGCGGTCACAAAGGGGACAGGGGATGAGAGGCACCGGGCCCGGGTCCCGAGCTGTCAGCTCTGCTGCCAGCCTCAGCGCCCCGGAGGGGGATGGGGTGCACGTAGACGCTCCGCAGCCCAGTCCAACCCAGGAGCCCAGGAGCAGCTGCCGCCGCCGCCGCCGCCGCCGCCACGCGCGCAGAGAGCTCGGAGCCTCTTGGCTGCCCAGGGACCGGGGACCCGGGCCGCGGGCCGAGGGAGCCGGGCGTTGGGAGAGGAGTTCTTGAACCTGGCCGAGCGCCCGCCGGGAGGGCGTTCTCCCCGCCCCCGGAGCCTCTCCAGTCCGGCCCGCCCCGAGTGCGGGGAGATCACCTCCGCCTGTCACCTCCTCCCCGCGTCGCCCAGGTCCACCCGGGGCCCCCTCCCCCGGGCCGCCCCCAAGCACGAAGTTGGCGGGAGCCTTATAAAAGCCGGCTACGGCGCGACCCGCGGACACACGTTGCAGGCGCCAGAGCAGCCGCCGCTTAGATCCGCGCCAACTCCTCTGCCCGGACGTACGGCGCGACCATGTCCCATCACTGGGGATACGGCAAGCACAACGGTGAGTGCGGCCGGCGGGCGGCGCGGTGCGGCGCCCAGGGCCCCGGTACCCGCAGCGCCCGCACCTACTGTTTACCGCTGCCGTCCGGAGCACCCGAGGCTCAGGTGCGCCTCCGGCGCCCGCCCCGCCCGCCGCTCCCAGGCACGGGATGCCCCCAGCACAGATCCCTAGACCACCGTCGAGGAATCCGAGTCCCGCTGCGGTGCGCAGGGCCCGGGGAAAGGGGTGCGCAGCCGCAGCCGCGGGACCCACGGACAGCCACTCCAGGGTCACGAGCCGGAGACCATCCTATCCCGACCCAGGAATAAACTAGGAAGGGTTGTAAGGAAACATTTTAGTTGATCGCAGAGAAATTAGGGAGCCCCCTTCACCCACCCACCCGCAACTTCATCCTCAGCACCACCTGTGGCTAAGACTCTCAGCACGAACTGTTCCGGGGCATTTTCTTGGGCTGGTCTGAATCCTTTGCGTTGATTTCTGAGTTTTCCCTTCATCTCTCGACTTCTTATGTTAGGAGGTCACCAGGAACCCGGTTTTATCAGGGCCGCAGATCTGGGTTCTCCCGGGCCAGCAAACGCAAGGGAAAGATGTGTCTGGCGCATCTTTGAACATCTTTAGGGAGTTGGGGATCCCCAGGTCATGGGGATCCTGACCATTAAGGGAGGGGTGCCCGGGCCTGAGCAGTTGACTCTGTCCTTACATCTAGGCCGAGGACTAGAGGAAGGAATTCCGATCTGCTGGAGTGTCCGAAGTGAGCTTGCATATCCCAAATCCTAATCACAAACCCAGTGTCAGTTGCTCAATTTCAGTAAAAGGAGCATAAAAATAGCTAATATTTATATGGCGCTCACTACTTGTTCTAAAAGCTTTACATGTATTGATTCTAATTCTCACACCAACCTCTATAAGCTAGATGTTATTATTACCCCCTAATACAAATGAGAAAACTAAGGCACAGATTAAACGTTTTCCCAAAGGTTATTCAGCTGTTCGGCGGTGCCGCCAAAACTGGAGCTGAGCAGTTTGGCTCCAGGGGCATTGCCCTTTTCTAGGGGTCTGCATGTGCCCTTCCCCACATTGGGGAGTTCACACGTCTGTTCTCAAACCCAGGACCCGAGCAATGGCATAAGGACTTCCCCATCGCCAACGGAGAGCGCCAGTCCCCTGTTGACATCCACACCCAGGCAGCCGTTCATGACCCTACCCTGAAGCCTCTGTCTCTTCGCTATGAGCAAGCGACTTCCCGGAGAATTATCAACAACGGTCACTCTTTCAACGTGGAGTTTGATGACTCCCAGGACAAAGCAGGTCAGTGTTTAAAAAATAACTTGTGCAGTTCAGCCAGTAGCTGTTTTCCCAGCTTAACAGGAGCAGCAGCAGGACCCCTGTAATACTACACTCTGATAATCTTCATTAGGTTGCAGTCTCTGAGGAGTAGGCTAATTACTTTGAAGTGGCAGGGGCTGTCTCTCCCTGTAAAATTCCTGGTTTCTATGTAGGGCATTGAATAACTGTGATATGCCTGGGAAAAGTCACAAAAGGCAAGGTGCCCTGGCAACAGAGATCAGCAAAGATGAGATTTGCAAAACTTGAACTTTTAAGACTCTAAAATATTTGTTTCCCAGAATTGATGCCTATCCAAGAAAAAGCACATCCTAGGGTGATCTGCAAGGTAGCAGTGAGAAGAGTGATGGAAACCTAATACTTTAAAATCCTGAAATTCTTGGAAACACTGTATTTACAAATATTTTCTCAGCATTGGGCTAGTGTGATAAAGGTGGTAGTGTATCTTGGTATCCACCCAGAAATTTATTCCACAAAGGAAAATGTTTTAGAGTTGGTTGGACATACCTGGTCCATTACTGACAAAACCAATTACCATAATTTATTTGTAGTGAGGCTGTTTACAGAATGCCCTTTGAATTGTCCTTTTCTTCTTGCTTAGAAATAGGAGAACAATCCCCTTGATTTTGTTGCCAGTGTCCTATTTTCCTGAGTGCTTTCCTCTGAAGGGCACTGAGTGAATGGAGCTACAAACACATTATGTGTGGTGGTGTGGGAGTCTGGGGGTGGGGGGCAGGGAGCATTGGGGCAAAATGAGGGAAGATAGAGACAACATTCAATAATGCTGTCAGAATGTTGGAGTAATGACCTATAGTACTCACATGGTATATAAATGTAATTATCGTCATTATAATAGAGTTGACTATTCTCTTTCAGTAGCTATCCAAAGTATTCAGTACAGTTTTGAAAAAATTCTTCCTTCCTCCCCTCTTGGGAGTGATAGTAACTTAACCTAAGTTTTTGTTTTCTTAACTGTAAAATTGGAGTAGCAGTATCTATTACAGAGGAAGGATTGAATGGGACAGACATATAAAACCTAGTGCTTGTCACCTAACAGTTCCTCAATAAATGACCATTGCTCTTGTCGGGTCTACACACCATTTGACTGCCTTTATTAGGCAATTGCTGTAGCTATTGCACCTCTGATAAGTTTTTTGAATTAAGTTTTTAATTAGCTTTAAAATTACTTCCCATCACTTGATGGCATTTTAAAATCTTACTTTTATATTGTCCCAAACATGCCATTTATTATATTAAACTATGTACTGATTTTATATATGACATTATTACATAGTAATATGTCTTACCATGAATATGTCAAGTTCTGATGGATTTCTACATAAGCAGGAACTGATGAGAGCTAGCCACATTTGTCTAACTACTTCTGGTGAATAACACATACATTACTAAAGCAACTGGCCATGTTTAGATTGTGAAACAGATGAAAATCAAGTGGTTCAGATAGAGGCTCAAACCCATGTCTTTAGAGACAGAGGTATTATTCACCTAGTTTTATGCAAAAAAACAAAATTCTTACAAATACCACTTATATGTTAAGACAAGCTAGGCATCTTGAGGGCAGGATGGAGTCCTGGTCCCTCTCCTGCATCCCCAGAGGCCATGATGGTGATACCTCAGGTAGAAAGACATAGAAATAATAGACGCTGACAGTCACTTTGATAAGTGCAACAAGGAAGTATCCCAAGGAAATATGGAAAGCAGGTTTGGAGTTGGCCTGAGCAAGTCAGAAAAGATTTTTCAGGGTGAATAAAGTTTGTGGTTGAAGGATGAGGCTTGAAGGATTTCAGTTTCTTGGAGGAGACTCCAGGCAAAAGGAAGTAGGAAACATGGGGGACTTGAGAGAGCTAGGCAAGAGGTACAGTAAAAACAAGAGGAGTGAATGTTAGAAAGACTTGTTCTCCTTTAAATACGGAAGACTCCTTTGTACTTTTGCCCATATCTCTTCAACATTTGCAGTTGTTTTGATTAAACAGGAAGCATTTTTTTTCTAGAATACAGAATATATTAAATGCTGATGTTAAGGGAAAACACATCTACAGGATAGAAAAAAGAAAAAAAAGTGAAACAAAACCAATCATACCATGCAGAGAAACACCCTTTAGACTTTTTTTTTAAGATCCTAGACTCTCAAGTTAGAACAAATGGTAGAGATACTCTAGTCAAACCCACTTAAAATAAACATGAAGAAACAGAACGCTCAAGAGTTTAAGTTACTTGCTAATCATCTCCTTCCTAGTTTGTTGGAATGAGACTAAATGGCAACCACTTAAAAATAGAAATTGAATAAGAATCTTTGAAGGACCATCATAGTTAATATTTAGTGTGTTTGTACTTGTACCATGTTTTTAAAAACTGATATACTTTTATGTTCACTTAAGTCAAAAAATAATTTTTCATTTTGGTCCCTCAGTTTTTTAAAATGGACAGTTTATCATAGCTTTTTGTTAGGAATTATTTTCATGGTGTTAACATTTTTAGATATCCTTTATTTTCTGTAGTTAAATGCTTCAGTTCATTTACTTCCCCCCTCCACCCCCAGTGAGATTTCAGTCTTCTAGAACTTCTCATGGACTCAGATTTTCAGATGTATCCTAAATGTTATCTTATACCCAAACTTAAATACTTGGGTATAAGGAACTGAAGTGGTAGAATTTATTGCTATGTTTAAGCTTGAGAGAAATCTTTTAAAATGCGGAGTTAATAGGCTTTAACTAGAAGCTTGGGTTAAAGCTCTCATCAATCTTCTAAATTCCTTTAAAAATAAACCACCTTAAATTAATGAAAAATTGTTAATTCTGTTAGGTTTTTTTTTATTATTAAAAAATAAATCTTCCTGCTTGAGATCTTTTATTACATGCTTCATCTGGGATAAAAGAATAGTAGTCAAATTGTTAACTCCTGCTAACTTATTAACTTTTATTAATGAGTTTAAAACTCTCCTGCTTTATAGCAAAGTTAGAGGCAAATATCATTGAAAAACCAATGTTCGAATTATTGGGCCAACCCATATACAACTCTCACATCATTTCTGCTTTTAGAAATTGGAATATTTTTATCTGTTTTTATTATTTCAAGAAAGAGAAGGAAGGAAGCTGAGTTCACCTGTGCTCATTTCAAGCAGATCATTGTTTGTATGATATGATGGATCGTCATACAAGAGTCCTGCTTGATTTTCACAGACTTGCTTTTGAAGCTTTAACATTTTCCTTTTACAAACAATTATAAGTTAAAAGGAAACAGGACAACAAAAAATGGAAGGGCTTGTCCTGCCTACTGCTAATGGTGTGAACAGAACCCTAAACTTCTATAAAACTGACAAAAGCATCCTAGACACTGTATTTAATAATGTTCATGTCAAAGAGTTACTTTTTTTTTACTCTCGTACAATTGCCATAAACCTGAAACTGAAAATTTCTGTTCTCTTGAATCTTAATTGTGCTTACACTAGTGAAAGTGACAGCTAAACATTTCACTACATAAAAAGAAATGGAATGTGGGTGTCTATTTCTCAGATTTGTCTACACTGACATTTGTTTTTTTAACCTTAGTAGGTAGCCCTAGGATTATTGACCACTGCCGAAAAACCAAAACCGATTTAATAAA